GTTCTTTGTACTACAAATGCATCATTGTTCATCTGGCAACTTAATTACAAGCTCTAGACTAGATAATAGTTTCTCTTCAGATTTTCAGCCGGTGTGAATCTACACTGATGGTTTCAGATCAAAGCCGAGCCGATCGTGACTTATCGCATCTCAAGCAGCCATTAAACTCAAATTATTACCAAAAGAAGCACATAATCTGGTTTCTGCTGCTAAACCCTGAAGCTGCAGATGGTGAAAGGTGAAGCTGAGGTGAAGGCTGCTCTGTTTCTGTCTCTCGTCCCAGAGACACGAAGGTTTCCCCTCTTCCTCCTCTTCCTCAAACATCGCTGCAACCGAAGGGGAAACGCAGCAGGAGGTGAGAGGAATATCAACAGTACGAGGGATGAAAGAGTATTTGTGTCCTGTTTGCCAGCAGATGGCATCGAGGAACTTGGAACTCGTTCAGGAAGTTTTAGTGACTCACGGTTTTTCAGGAAGTTTTTTGCACAATTTTCCTCCGAGATAATTAGCAGCAAACAGCTGTCTCGATTTGGTGATTCACAGTTTTTCACTCCAAATTCTGGGTTGTTTTTTATTCAGAGGGAGAGCTGCAAATATTTTTATCCACAGGAAATTGCTGATAAATATTTGGAAAGTAAAATTAGAGAAGAAAATCAGAGCGAAGCTGCAGCTTCTCCTCTCTGGATGGAGCTACAGTGACATCTGCTGGCCATAAAGGAAACTGCATCAATAATCTTCATGGACAAGTGAAAAAATTAACTTTTCCTGAGTTCCTGCTGTCAGATATAGTAAAATATGACTTAAAGTCCAAGTGTATTAATATGATTTTGTTCAATTGTTTTATAAAGTGAATTGGTGCTATATAAATAAACTGAACACTGAACTTTATAGGAAATTATTTTCAGCCTCCTAAGCGGTAAGTATGCAAACCAACTCTGAAGAAGCTGCAGGATTTTTTGTTTCATATTGTTATGATTTAGAAATGACACTAGATCTTTTTTTCTCTATATTGTTGCTGCAACAAGCATGAAAACATGCAGGTCTGGCTAAAATATCTGAGCATTATGACAGCTAATTTATAAACAGTTTCTGGTTTTCGCTCAAAATCTTCTGGAGATTTTCTAAATCAACAAAAGGAATGACTTTATGAGAGGAATTTAAATTCCAGTCTGAAATTTCTCAGCAGAATAAATCAGACAAAAACCTGTAGTGGATTAATGTTTTTAAACTTTCAACAAGTGGAACTGCATGTCCTGTGTTGAGCAAGGTGAAGGATCCGGGATGCTGTGGGCTTGTTTTTGCTTCAGAGGTCCAGAGAACCAGGTGAGGTTTTATAATATTAATGTGAAAATATGTTTTTATTGGCTCTTTGAAGATAGTAATGAGGTAAAATGTCACAATATCAACTCAGATTTGATTTAAAATGTTTCAGTGTTAAATTAATCCACAGCAAAAACAACTAAGCAGGTGAACCAGGGTTTGATATAATTTAAAACAATCTGGTTGCACTTAAGTAAATTTGGTAACTTTATTTGAAGGAATGTGGATAAAAATCAAAGGATTCTTTATAAATGTTGTCATGAAATGTCATTTTGTAAACATGACATTAAAAATGTCAACTTTTTATACAAAGTTGACACTTTTAATCGACTCTTTATGTAATGTTTTAGTGTAACTGCATTAAAATGTCATTATGTACTAAAGAAAATACAAAGTTTACACTTTTAATGCTACTTACGTGTTTCATTAAAAGTGCAACACTTTTGTTTAATATTCAACAAATACTATAAAACTGCACTTAGATCAAATATAACTCGGGTTAAATTAATGAATGAAGTATAAAATCACTATTCCTGGATGTAGAAAATGTTCCTGTAAGGATGCAGTTGTGACCTCTGACCACAAGGGGCGCTAGCGTCCGCGCTGTTTCTCTTCTGTCTTGGAATAGAAGCAGCGAACATGATGCAGTGTACAGTGCGCATGCTCACTGAGCATTGTTGTTGGAGTCAGCTGGTGGTTGTCAGTCTGACTGAAAGTGGAAAAAAATATCAAGTGAAACGGAGCAAAAGCCGAACGGATTGAAACATTTTACAGAAGCGACAGAAGGTGTCGCTGTTGTCGCTTTATAACTGATAGTGGCGCTGAATTAGATTTCAAATAAGAGCGAGCTGATCGTTTCTCCGCAGGTGGAGCGCTCGGATGGAGGCAGAGCCGGAGGACCAGGAGGAGGAAGAGGCGGCTGCTGCCATGCTGTGGTCCATCCAGGAGGCTCTGGAGAGGCAGACCCAGCAGATCGGAGCGTCGGCCTGCGGGGCCACAGCGGTGGTGGACGTCCTGAAGGCCCTCGGAGTGGATGTTTCACCGGAAGAAGCTGACCGCTGCGTCCAGACCCGCCTGAGGAGGAACGAGTCTCCGCTGGCGGACTACCTGCTGTCCCGCAGCGAAGCTGGTGAGCTGCGGCCGTGTATTATGGGATGTTGGTGCGTGAAGAAAAGTTTCCCAACATGTTTGACAGCGAAATAGGGCGCTGTTCATTTATATTGAGACGAGAACTGATGGCAGTGACGCATATAGGGGCGCTGGGCTACAGGGGGCGCCAAAGTAAAGAGAAAATCTATTTCTTGTCATGATTTTCTGTATTTAAAACATGTTAATTGTGTTAGAGTACAAAGAGTTGAATCTAAATCTGCAGGTTATAATTTGTAAAGAATTTTAAGGGATCTGGATTAATAAAATGTAAGATTTGTTTCATATGACATCCAATTGTAATTGATTTTCTTGTTTTCTCGTCGTAAAAAGAAATTACAAATGACAGAAAATATTTATCTGCGAGTTGTATGATGAAGTGTTAGAGTCAGGCTACAAGAACTTTTTAATTTTTTTTTCTAAAAGTCGTGATATTAGAAAAATAAACCATTTTACTAGATAAATATCTTAAATTTACAAGTAAAAGTCGTTTTAATGAGAAAAAAGCTTCTAGTTATTAACATCTTATGTGATCAGTTCTGTCTGTCGTTAAAACAAACTAAATAAATTTTTAGAGTTCTTGTAATGATGATAATATGATGGTGATGGGTTAAAAAACTATCTGTAAAACTTATAGCAATGTAAAACTTCACATTTAAACTTTTTAAGTTTTATGTTGAAATTCTCCTGAAATTACAAGTTAATTCTTGTAATAGAAAAAAACTCACAGCTTGACCCAAATATTTCATTGTAAATCTGAATTCAAAGTCAAAACAAGATGGCCGCCATGACATCACTCTGAATTTTGTAAACACCAGGAGGGAATTAATTAAAAATAATCTAGATTTTCCATGAGATAAAATAAAAAATCTGGATAAAATCTTTAGTGTGAATCCTTTTTCTTGTTGCCGTTAGCGACCGGTGATGTTTACCTTCGTCCAGGTGCGACTCACGTTCAGCTGATCCGAGGCGCTCAGGAGGCCAGCGGCGGGAAGGCCGTCGGCCGCTTCTTCCACCTTTATCCCCGGCGGCGCGTCAGGCTGGTCCCGTGGCTTGCAAGCTGGATCAGGAAGGGCGCCGTTCCCGTGGCGACCATGAACATGCAGCTGGCCGTGCCCGATGGCGAGGAGGTGCCCGACGCTTGGCACCATCAGCTCATATTTGGAGTCGCACCCAGAGCCGTTTTTATGACCAACCCTTTGGATGTAGGTGTGTGAGCCAGAAGATTTATTGTTTATTTGACCAACCTGTTGGTTTCTCATTGGTTATTTTACTCCTAATTGCACTGAGTGAACAAATTAAAGTTGTTTTTACACGTTGGTGTGTTTAAGTGAGCTGTACTGGTGCAGAGTTGTCAAATAAACGTGGATTTCAGGTCATTTATGTCTGTTTTTTGTTTCTAAATGTTTCAAGTCAGAATTGTTTTTCTTTATCAGAATCTGTTTTGTTTTCTACTCTCATCTGAACATAAATAAGTTTGGTTCTGTTCTCTCCTTCAGTCGGGGAGGTCGAAGTTCACCAGCGACTCTGCAGCCAGTCGGTGCTGCTGGTTCGTCGGGAAGACGTTCTGCAGAGATTGACGCCCGACGGTTCGCCGTCTGACCTCTCTGACATCCAGTCCGACCCGCACTGGCAGCAGCTGGACGTCGAGGGTGAGGCGGCGACCTTCTCCTGACGCCGACCTCTGAGCCGCCATGTTTGATTCTGGTTGTCTTCTCTCCAGGTCAAGTGAGGCAGATGATGTTAGAGGAGGAGCTGGAGGACGGGCCCAGGACGGCTCACGTCAGCATCCCGGCGGCGTACAGTTCAGGGGTCACGCTGTTCGCGCTGACGGGTTCAGATGCGGCTCAGCAGCTCCTCAAGGCTCCTGAACTTCCTCTGCTGTGAAGGACGGAAGAGCCGACTGGAGAAACGCTGCACTGGAAGGCAGCGCGCCGATTATTCTCCTCCACTCAGCCAGAACGCTGATTTTCTGAGTTCATTGATTTTTTTCAGAAGCAATAAAAGCATCGAATCCATCTTAGATATGAGACTGAAATATAGAGATGGAGATGGAGTTAGTGAGCTTCGGTTCATTTTCTGCTCCGCTTCTTCCACTAAAGATGGAAAAACTTGATGTTTTTCAGTCTTGATTTACATGTAATATTGTAATAATAACTTAATAACGCCAACAGATTCTTCTGTATTACTCTATGAAACTATTAGTAAGTATTCTCCCTGAGTGGCTGATACAAGTTTAAAAATATATTTCTTAAAGAGCTTTTAGGAAACTTTCCAACATCGTTCCCTGAAGATCGACTGCATTTCTTTTTAGGGAGCGATTCTCATCTTCAGGACACTCTGCACTGCTTCAACATATCTGAACTTAAGTAGAAATAAAGTGGAAAGGCTGTGAGTGAAATGGATTTGATAATATAGAGAGAATCTAGAATGATGTGCAGGTTATGAAATAAAAAGGTGAGGTGGTTTCTGTCTAATGCATTTAGGGAATATAATGAATGCAGTGAGGAAAGAAGACATTTTTGACAAAGGTAATCCTGGCTGCCAACAAAAACAAAGTTTGTGAAAGATTATTGAAGAAGATGAGATTGGGATGTTGGAGGAAATTTGACCAATGGGAAAAAGTATTTAAGTATGAAAATACAGCAAATGCAGGTAAATGATTAATGAATGTTAGTTTGTAAAATATTGTTGGATGAAATATCCAGTTCAGTTTGTTTGTCTCCGCAAAAATGTTTAAAAATAAAAGTAAAGGGGAAAAAAACTGGGATTTTCAGTCAGTGGAGGAGTTTAGCTGGTGCAGTTTTGTTTTTCTGACAAAAATGTAATGTTTAGTTTCTTCTGTATGTTTTGTTCTTAGTATAATTTAAGGTTGATTTTATATTTGGGAAAAGTGCTTTAGAGTTTCAAGAGAAACTTTATCTACTTACTTATATTCATGTAAATGTGTCAAAATTAACCACAAGGCTCCACAAAGTTGTTAGAGTTAAATGACTTTAATTTTCTTGTATTATTTAAGTTGAATTATTGCCTCATGAAATGTTAATGGTAATTTATTGCAAATTGTTAAAAAAAATGATATTAACTCTTATTTCCACTCTTGCATCACAAAAGGTCCAGAAAACGAAAATGCCAGAGTCCCTCTGGAGGAAGTTTTCGACTCACTCAGAAACAATAAAAATCGCTCGCGGAGACTTCTCCTGTTTCAAAGGAGTTTCTTATACTTATAAAAGTAACAAAAAATAATCTCCGAGTTGACTTCAGATAAAACGTTAACTTGTGGTACAAAAACCTTTTCACTCCTTCACCAAACAATCAGATCAGCCCCAGCAGCTGCTTCTGCCTGTTAATCACTGCAGGAGGCTGACAGAGGAGGAGGGTCTAAGCAAAACAAATAAATAAATACATCCATAAATAAATAAATATACAACAATAGATCTACCAATCGATAAAACGACTCTTACTTAAAGAAGCTCAAAATAGGAAGAACAAAAGAAAATCTCTCTAAAATGCCCTTTGATGTGAGCGTGTCAGGATTTTATGTGTCAAATTAGATGGTGAGAGTCTGGATATCATCAGTTTTTATTTTTAGTTATTGATTTAGCTTTGAATTCAGGTTTGGTCTTTGACTAGGTCATTTTAACACGTGAATGTTCTTTGAGTTAAATGATTCCTCTATAGTTCTGACTGAACCTTTAGGACTGTTGAACCATTTTCATATATGTAGATCATGAAAGGATAAACTTACCTTCCAAAACTGGAAAACTATTTTCTTTTTTGATGAATTTTACTTTAAAGCATTGGTAAAATGTTTTTTTTTGTTGTTGTTTTTTTTTAATCCATGCAACACTCTGGATACCAGAACTCTGAGCCAGTTTAGATGAAAATATCCTACCCTGGGTATTTTTGAGTCAGTCTGGAAAAACTATAAACATTTAAACTAAAAACATTTATTAAGCTTCAACCAGCTGGGATCAGGACCTCAAGCAGGTGGAACCACCTAAAGAACAATAAAATTAAAAAGTCATTGAAGCTTTTAAAAATATTAAACTGTAGTAAACAGATTATTTTTACTTTTTTGTACTCGCTCTCTACCGCTCTCCTGTGGTCACACATTGTAACTACACACTAAAATCCTTTAAACTTGTTCAATGATGAATCGGTTTAATTATAAAATTACGACCGATTATCAGTGAACTGAAGGACAGACTCCATTGTTCAGCATCAGAGTTTAGATCTGCAGCTCCTGATAATCAGTTTGTGTTTAAAACAAGCTGCTGCTAAAATCTGTTAGCATCGCTAGCATAGCTCAGAGTCTCTGTGGAGCTGCTTCTCGTTCACACTGACAGAGAAAACATTGAAGTGAACCAGGAGAAGAATCTGCCTTCATTTATATCACTGGGAACCAGTTAACCTGCTAGTCTGAAGCTGGAAACCAGTTAGCTCGTGTATTTTATTTATATATTCTTGTTCTAAATAATGCAAAATAAACTGCTGTCTAAATTAGAAGCTTAAAGAGCTGAAA